TCTTAATCATAATTTGGAGCACTTGGAGAGCAATATCATGGTCACTCCCATCATAAGCCAGGTATATGGATCTTTGATGATTCACTTGTATATGTTGTAAGTAAGTTTATTAGCTAGCTATCATCATATTAAACAGTAATTATAGTCCTCGTGAGTCATCATCACAACACAAAATAGGGTACTATATACAATAACTTTATATTCTTTTGTCATTTTTGCCATATTATCTCTGTTTGAAATAAGAGTGATTACATAATACATACATAATTGCATGCAGATTTCATATAATTGCATTTACATCAATAGTTCTCTTTTTATTTTGTCCAATAAACTGATATCAAAACATAGGATGCATTAATCGCTTCCAAGTTCAAACATGTAGACAGTGGGTCAAGCAAAAGGAAGCATCACTAGAAGCGAGTCATGTGCTCAACATTCACTAGAAGCGAGTCATGTGTTCAACACACACACACTCTCTCTCTCTCTCACAAACACACACAAAAAGATTAGGTGTTTTTGGGGCAAAAATGCGTCATGCTTGGATGTTCAGTGACCTTGGAAAATAGAAGGTGAAGCTTGGTTTTAATTTAATAAGAAAGCCTCCCAAGGGCCTCTTGGAATGGTTGATATTAGGGAGTTTTCATACCCTCATGTTATTTTTAGTTAAATAATATTGTCTAGGCTTTTGCCCTATATTTTATCCAAAAAAATTGAATCACAACAACAGTGACTACAAGTGAATCTTTTGCACATATACATTGAAGGTAAAGAAATTGATTAGTCAGTCGTTACTATACAGTATACAGAGAAATGAAACAATAAAAATATATTGAACTTATAAATTAAAATATCTTTTAAATATGTCGGTGAAAAAATTTGAAAAGATAAAAATATAATCATCATAACAAAAACAAAAATATCACACACATTTCTTTTCCTTCTTTTTTGTGTTTTGACAAAAATACTTTTCCCTGGCACTAACCAAATGTTTTCATGGTTTTCTGGCAGAGAATGAAAATTGACCCTATTCAATCATACACAAACCAATGTTAGTAAAGAGTTCTTTTTCCCCCTTAAAAAAAAAAAGAATATGGAAGCATGTGAAATACGTGTTGAATAAAGGGTGACAAGTAAGTGGACATGAATAATGCATGGCGAAGAAGAAAGGTATCTGTATGTTTAATTTGTTTATTTGCGGGGAAAAAAGGCGGAGAAGCTGAAGAAACAATAAGATTGACTAACAAGAGAGGGGTGTCATAGCTCATAACATTTAAGTAGGTCTTGCTTTTGGTTGTTTTGTTGGATCCACATAAAAATTTCACCTTATCGCCCTTTTCAAAGCACATTTCTAGGTACTAAATGGTGCATTTCTAAAAATAATTGTTAGGCACAAAAGAAAGAATTCATCATCTCCATATGCTATGACTATGACTTGTATCAGAATGCCCTTTATTAATCCAACACTTAACCACGACTTTACATTAATCACAGAACTAACTTAAATAAATTACCCAAACATGTTTGACACTTTAAAAATAATGAACATTTCAAATAAAGTTTATAAAATTACTTTAAGATTTGAGAATCATAAGTTTGTGCTTCAAAAACAAGCTTTAAATAGAGCTTTAATAAGTCTAAATTGGTAAAAATAAATACGAAAGCATAAGATACCAGTTTGTATTCAAACTTTACAAAATAGGATTGAAAATAATTTAACATGAAATAAGAAGGTGCATCGCAGCTTGTGTCCCTCACACCGCAACTTTCATTTTCTGTGCCACGTGCTACGATACATTGCACAAAAATGACAGCACCGATCCTATCAATTTGATACCGTTCGGGACAAACTTTTAATACGTCCTAAAACTCCATCCAACATTTGATTGAGGTGATTTAAGTGTATATGAAAAGTTTTAGTTAATGACATTAGTTCCATTTCAACATTATATCTCAGTTAAAAGTTGGATAACCCATTTGTAAACTTACTCATTTTTATACTTAAATCATAACTTAGATATAAAAACCTTGACCAAGTTTCAAAAGCTTACAATCATCTATAGACCATGCTTAATAGACCCAATATCACTTGTGCAATACACCATAGACCTGCAAATATACCTATAATATATTTTCAACCCTTGACCTGTCAATCTAAAAAACGAAAGGGGGAGATCAATTATTTTTCAATTCTTAAAATATTCCCATTTTTGCTTTACACAAACATTCACAAGTTATTTTCACATTTACACTAGTATTTTGGCCCTAACCAATTAAATTGATATAAGACTTATATCTTAGGGCTCAAAATACAATCAAATTTTACAGAATGTAAATGGTGCAAGTATCAAAACATGCTCCTAGTTGGCAACTATTAGTTCTAAATACACATAAATTAAATTACTAAAGGCCTACAATTAGGATTATTAGATCATAATAAGCCTCTAACGCTTTTCCTCGATCTTGACTTTAGGTAGCTCCTGTAAATATTAAAGAGAGAGGAGTAAGTATAATCACTCAATGACCAAGTATTAATTTAATCTATACAAATGCATGTCAATCAATTATAATAAGGTAAGTGTCTTGAAGACAATATCATCTACCCATATCATTCATCAATCATCCATGGCTATTAAACTAAAGGAACAACAATATGCAACAAGTCATAAAAATAACAACTATATTATTGAAATACTATAATGTGCAAGGGACATAATACTAACAATAACAATACTAACAATAAGGTGCCCTTAATAATAATATGCAAGGTCACAATAATAATAACCATACAATCATAAAATAATATGCATAATTAATTTCATCCTTATATCCTCTTGATATCTCTGACTGAAATTGTATACTATTAATTAAAGGGGTTTGTCCATGTGAATGGACTACCCAAACCCTGTTATTGTGAGAAGCTGCCAAGCCAAAGCTACTATAATCACTTTAGGATCATGATTTTTTCCAAATCACACATTAAGGGGTGTCATTTCGTTAAGTTTTCTTCCTTACAGAGCAAATGGTGACTAGTTAAGTTTGAGTTCCTTGATAAATCATGGGATAGTCCCTTATTGAATAAGTAGGAAATTAAACAATTAGAAGCATTAAGCTCCGAATAGTAGCCATATCACGTATATTTAAAACATCTACTCCTCTTTTTAAGCAAACTCTCTCCTCATACGATTATGTAATGCAACTCATGCTTAACACATAGCAAGCACATTCTCAACATATCTATCACATATGCATTTCAAACACCATATTCATAATATGTAATTCCTCAAGAATCATGCTTGGCACATCGTATATGATCTCACATCATTATACACTTTTCACGATCACATTATCATTGCAGTTCACATATATTCTTTTTCATGTTCAATTTCTATTTTACTTTTTCTTATAATCATGCTTAACATAAATTTTACACATGCAAAATCAAGTCCATTCACATCAATCACCTTAAATATTTTCTTGTGCCACAATTGCATTTCTTACATTCATTCAAAAGCATTTTCTTATTAAAAAATGAATCATAAATTTCTATAACTAATTAACATGTAAAGGCGTAAACTAAATTTCTTCCGGCTACCTCAAACCTTTGAAGGTTGAAGGTTTATCCCTTAATACCAAATATTTCTTAAGCTTTATCAAGCTTGAATGGTGCTAAAAATAATTAATTTACAATTTATCATATCAAAGATAATCAATATTCTCATTAACAAAATCTCAACTCTTTATCTCCGCACCTAAACTACTTAAAAAATTCAAATTCCTTCCATTCAATTACACCCATTAGGCTTATTAACTCCTATTATCTCCTACTAACATCAACAAACTCTTTACTTACCATTAATGACAATTAAACACTTCCAAACATCCTCATAAATGCTATTTTTAGACATGAATGGGGCCAACAACCAAAGGACGCATAAAAACTACCAATCTTTGGTGTAGATAACTCAAACAACTCTCTTTAACTTTATTTAAGTTAATGGGTTCAAACCTATAACCCTACAAGTCTATAAATCTACTTCCCTCTACAAATCCTAACTCAAACTTTGAGAAAATGAAAGAGGAAGGAAGGAGAATGCTTGGGAAACTTACCCTTAATGTTGGATAGCTTCAAAATGCTCCTAAATTGACAAAACTCTAAGCCTTAGCACAAGTCAACTAGTGCTCTTTGTGTTTCCTTTACTCCTCTCTTTTCTTTCCTTTTTTGAACTGGTGTATCCCTTATTTTTGCATGAATTTGACCATGTGTAATGGTTTACGCTATGTGCGTCATGGTAGTGGTATAGGGGGGCACTCCTTTTGTTGCTTGGCAATGTGCCACGACAAACGCTGTACATGTCATAAAATATGGTATAAAGGTGTCCTCCCATGTTTTTCTTTAGCCTTCAGGGTCTAAGAGGCATAACTCCACTCTAGAATTAATCCTTAGGTTGCAAGCACAATCTATTAGGCTCATTAACTCTCTCTCTAATCATATACCACATTAATTCACTTAACTACCCTCATTTAGCTTAGTTAAATGGGGAGTTAATTTTTAAAATGTTACAATGCCCACTCCTGAGCATTTGTCTCTTATAGTGTCCAATTCAAAAATCAACCTCACTATCAATAACCTTATAGTCAAGTAGCATTGTAAGATCCCTTGTAAGTGAAAAGTTGTGGATTCAATCCTACTTAGAACCTCATGCTATTAATGCTTGCCCTTGTCATTCAGGAAAAAGGAATCAGCCACGCCAATATGAACGAGCCTAATTTTGGATTAACAGACAGCGGACCTCATTTGCTACTTCTACAGTTGACCTCGTCGTCATGAATACATGAACCCTCGACAAAGGTTGGCCTTTGAGAATTGGGCCGGTCCAATTATATTATCTGGGCCGAGGCTGAGCCCAATCCAGAATTGAAGGGTACACGTGTCAAGCTCTGAAACGAGCCGCGCACGGTCGTTTCAAACCACAAGCCTCACGGATGCCATTCCCTCCAAAGACTCGTGCAGAGTCAATTCGTGTGATGTTATGTTGGGAGCTTGGGCATCTTCCTTCGATCAATCTTCCCTCCAATCCAGTATTCAACCCCTCAAAGCTATAATTTGGCTCTCTCAAGTCTCAGCTGAGTTCGCAGTAGCATCCCGGCTCTCTTGTTACACTTGCATGACCGCTTAAATCTCCCTTTCCCCCTAAAAGGCGATTCTTGGCAGAAACGCAACTTTTCCTGTCCGCGTAGCTAGCCTAGCGATTGCGCCCAGGGCTTCCGTAATGTCAACAATGGCAGTACAATCGGGTCGAATTAGAATCTTGAAAGAAGGATCTGGGGGGTTGGAGGGACGAGTGGGTCCCGTCGTGTACTGGATGTTCAGAGATCAACGGGTAAAAGACAATTGGGCTCTCATCCACGCTGTTCATCAGGCTAACAAAGCTAACGTCCCCGTCGCAGTTGTTTTCAATCTTTTCGACCAGTTTTTGGGCGCAAAAGCCCGCCATTTGGGGTTTATGTTGAGAGGTTTACGCCAGTTGTCCCCGGCTATTCAACACAATCTTCAAATTCCCTTTTTCTTGGTTCGGGTAATTTTCGATCCTGTGTTGCTATTAAGATTTTCTTGTGAATATAAGCGTTAATTAATTTCCGTTTTTTCCCTGATGAAACAACAACGACAACGACAACAATAATAATGGATTCCAGTTTCTTCACTATATAGCTGCATTTTGGTGATACGTGGAATAAAAGGGGGTCTGTGACTATATAGAATTTTTTGTGGGCTTGTCTGTAGGGAGAGGCAGAGGACACTATACCAGATTTCCTCAAAGAGTGTGGAGCCTCGTTGCTGGTAACAGACTTCTCACCCTTGCGAGAAGTCCGGAGGTGCAAAGCGGCTATTTGCAATAGGGTAAGCGATTTGGTTACAATACATGAAGTCGATGCTCACAACGTAGTACCCGTTTGGGTAGCGTCGGAGAAGTTGGAGTATAGTGCTAGGACCATAAGAGGAAAGATAACCAAAAGGCTTTCTGAGTATCTGATTGATTTTCCTACAATGGAACCACCGACTAGGAAATGGATCGGTAAGAACCAATTGATCGATTGGGACGGCCTCATTGCTGAGGTGTTGAGGTTAGACAGTAGACACTACCCTTTTGTTTGATATCATATATACTATCGTATGGACCATTGCCTTGATGTAGTTGTTTTCTACAACTAGGATAGGAGCAGAGGTTCCCCAATTACATTGGTGTGAACCAGGGGAAATTGCAGCGATGGAAGTATTGATGGGTAATAAAAATGGATTCTTGACTAAAAGGCTGAAAAATTATTCCAAAGACCGCAATGATCCGTCCAAACCCAGTGGTCTTTCGGGCCTATCTCCCCATTTACATTTTGGGCAAATTTCTGCCCAACGCTGTGCCCTAGAAGCACAGAAGCTGCGAAAATCATATCCTCAGGCATGTAAAATTTAGTCGTGGTAGATTACTCGATCCTTTTACCTTTTTCTTTATTTCGGTAGAACAGCCATTGAGCAAACTAGGACCTGTTTAAATTGTCAATCTTTCAATCAACGCAATGCGCTAGTGCTTGAAAACGAAGTAGCTGCAATTTACTGTCATTTTATCCCATTTGTCGTTTGCTTTTCTTCCCCCAAAATGACAGTGGTGTCTGGTGTTTCATGACCATGTCTGAAGGCCATTGAAGTTTTCTTGGAAGAGTTGATTGTGCGGAGAGAACTTGCTGATAATTTTTGTTACTATCAGCCACATTATGATTCATTGCAGGGAGCATGGGAATGGGCTCGCAAGACTTTATTAGACCATGCCAATGATAAACGAGAACATATCTACTCGTGAGTCACGTCACTTTGTTTTTATCATTTCTTCATTGCTTGCAAGCTCATCTTGCTTTTATATCTCCAGGAGGGAGCTATTAGAGAAAGCACAAACTGCAGATCCTGTAAGTCAATCTTTTATGTATTTTGTTCTAAAATAATCGACCTTAGTTTTTGAAGACCTTCTCACTGTCATTTATCGTTCGTCATTCCTGAATCTCTAATTTTATCAAGGTCCTGTTACCCAATAATTAGTACATCATTTTGATTATGAATATCAGCTTTGGAATGCTTCTCAGAAGGAGATGGTTTACCATGGAAAAATGCATGGTTTTATGCGGTAAGTAGCTTCTGTATTATTTTTTTCATCTATTTGTTGCTTGACGATACATATGTCATCACACAATGAAGGGCATCAATCAAATAATGAATGAAATGTTTCTCTTCTGAAAAGTGGTTGGGAAAGGAAAGTTTGGTAGTTTGCAAGGATCAAAGAATCTTTCCGGATATGTTTGACATATGACTGTACTGTGCTTCAGTGACAAAACTACTATTGTTTGGTACTTTTCTGATGTTTTTGTGCCAATGTAGGTTGAGTTTCGTTTGAATATGATCTCAATCCTAGTTTCTTGATATCGTTGCCATAATAAGACTGACTTTTTTCAGATTTTTTTCCTTCCTTGGCTTCGCCCCATGTTCATTATTTGATATTATGTGAATCTTGTTTGGATTTTCCTAGTGGTATGAGGAGTTAGTTTACTTGTAAAATAAGGATGGTGATGATTGTCTTGTCAAAGCTGTGTTGTGGGTGTGAAGTATACACTGACAGAGATGGCTAAGAAATGAACTAGCTTGGGTTTTTCACCGAGAATATTAGGAGGAACTGAATTGAAAGTTGAGCTTTGGATATCATACAAATATATTGTAATCTCATTTTGATTTATATTGGATTGAACTGGTAATTTGCTCAAGACCAACCAATTACATATGACATTTTTATGGTCTCTGTCATTCTTATTTCCTCAAGAGAATTTCCAAACCTTTTTTTTTTTTATTTTAGCAAGAAATTTTTAATGGTGTTTCTATTATCTTAAATAGTGATTCATATATATTAAATTATGCTTTTAAATAATGACAGCTTGTTTCTTCTGATTAATTATATTGTACTTGTTCATGCCTTTTCCTTTATACATTTATGTTTCTTCAATTAGAAAATTTTACTTGCAGAATGTATTGGGCAAAGAAGATACTTGAGTGGACAAGAGGACCTGAAGAAGCCCTCGAGATATGTATATATTTAAATGACAAGGTGATTTAGTTAGCTCGAGCACCCCCACCCCCCCGGACACCCCAAAAAAAAAAAAAAAAGACAAAGGTTATTGCCATTTGATGAAGTAGCAGAGATCTAAGAAATTGTTTGGCTTGTTTGTTTTTTGCTGTTAATGCAGTACGAAATAGATGGGAGAGATCCAAACGGATACGTTGGCTGCATGTGGTCGATATGTGGTGTCCATGATCAGGTCTGCATGCATTGTTCTCCAAGTTGTGATTTGAAACTTGAAAGTAGAACCTGTGCAGTTGGTTCCACTTTCACCTTATATGTAATTTGAATAGGAAAAAACCTAGATGAGAAAACCAAGAAGGAAAATATATTTGCGAAGTGAGTAGCATGCATCTTTGCGAGTGAAGAACCGCAATCTCTTTTGTTTTTTAATTGAATGCACGGTCCAAAAAGGGGGCGTTACATGCGTTCCTCTTTAAGTATCTATTAGTTGATAAATAAGAGCTATTAGAATTTGAAGTTATGTTTTTTACCCCCCAAATTTTTGGCTTTTCAGGGCTGGCAAGAGCGACCAATTTTTGGGAAAATTCGATACATGAATTATGCAGGGTGCAAAAGAAAATTCGATGTCGACGGATATATAGCACACGTCACCAAGTTAGTTGGTGAAATCAGAAAGAGAAAGGCTGAAAGCTTGCTATCCGAGAAGGAGAAAGTACAACACCATTAGTCCTAATGTGAACATATACTTTATTATGCATTTTGTGGCTGGCCGTTTTGAAGATTATGGAAGCAGAGATGTGCAAATCTGCCAGCGGCTATTATGTTTGAAACGAGCGCAGAGTTGATGATCCTTGATACATTGTTAATATCACAAGTGCATGCCCAATTTATATTAAAACCATATAATCGGACCATCTAGCAAAACTATTGTTACATTTTTCTGTATGGTTTGATACAAATACAGACATGCTTCTATTAGTTTCTGGATCAGAGCGGATCATTTCCCTAAAGAGAAAAGAATTAGGCGAACGGGATCCCTAATCAACAAAAAATCCCTAGCATATGCAGAGTCTGATTTGATGAACATGCCAAATGTTAACAAAGAATTGTTATATGAAGATGCTTCAACTGATTGTTCAGTGATCACACAAATAAATTTGGCAGGAAGAAGCTCATCAAGTTTCATATCTCGAGATCTTCCAACGATAACTCATGGCTCGTTAGCATCTTCAGCTTCTGCAGAAACAGAATAGTAAGCATAATGATGGCGAATTGTTATTCCTGGTTAACAGACGCATTTCCATACGGCTTTTAAAAAACTTGAAAATTTTGATACCGTAATAAATTGTGCAGGATCATCAAGACTTGATGAACCCAGAATAACTTCCCTCTTCAGCTTACCAGTCAGCTTGTGGCAAACCCTAAGCTGAGAAATAAAACAATGTACGGATAAGACAGGCGGGGAAAAATAATCATAAGCTCGTTTCATAAAGCATTGATCAAACCTCAGATCTAGTAGCTCCACCGACAATAAAAACAAAAATGCGTTGCCCCATCTTCTTAAAGTCACTGGATGTATGTCTAAGCACCGAATCACTGATGCAGCCAAAAAAGATGAAAATGAGTGAGAAAGTCGGGGAATGGCAAATATTGCAGATCCAGCCTTCCAATTGTAACAGAAGCTTGAACAACTAGAAACAATATATTTATTTCAAGTCTACACAACTTACAAGTAGAGAGCAAAGTTGAAAAGAGTTTGAAGAGAGTGGGAGGGGGAAGAGTTATTGAATATAAATATATATAATATCAATAGAAGTAAATATCATATTAATCAGACTAGCATAGCAAGCAAACGAGAATAGAACCTTGAATATCCATCGTCAGAGCCTCGAGGTCTAGCCCAAGTTGGCGTGCGCCTTGATCTCATTGAATGAGCCGGTGGATTATGGTTCGCTGACCCCACAAAAGGTGAACTATGAAAAGACGGACTTGGGTCATTCAAACACGGATATTCTTCCTTTGACAAGTCACTTTTGCTGAGTTTTTCAATAATTTCCTGGATGATGGATCATCCATTCATCATACAAGGCTCAAACAGTTAGCAAGATATAAAAAATCAGCCAATTGACTTGTCAAGAAGATATTATTATAGACTAACAGGACTTCATCTTTATATTACAACTGTATTAAAAGGTATAGCTATTTCCAAAGAATAGGACTACTTCTAGTTTTAAAATGTACATCATATAGATTTGACTTGACTTTGGTAACAGGTAATTTTGCTAATCAAATGTCACGAGAGTTGTCTATGTAGCCTCATGCCCTACTGTCTACGCAGTTGGAATATACCTTGACAATCCATCTAGAACTTTGTGCCAACAAATTGCATATACTCCATGTCATAATTATCACGCTATAAGCCAGCTCCTAAACAAGCAAACTTTGAAATAGTAGCATTTTGATGTGATAAGCTAGGTATTTCTTTTGCAAAATGTCAAAGTTGGGTTGCCACAGCAGTTATTAATGTTCCAAATGGAAGATATTGGGCCCCGTGGCTACTCCAAAAAAAAAAATTTTAAGTTGATGACAAGATTTATTTGGTGTACTTTTTGAACATCAGAAGTTAAGAACTGATGCGTCGGAAATTAAATTCCCAGAACTGAATTGATGACAGATTTTCACATATCAATATGAGTCACCAGGTTTATATTAGCACTCAGGTAAAAACTCAAGAAAGAAAACCCACGCAGTCACGCACAATTTATTAAGGTTCAGAAATAACACTTAAGGATGAAGGATGTATCATGCAAGATCCCCAGCCAAGCAAGAAAAACATCATAAAATCGTTCAACAATAAGGAAATCTATAACCAAATAGAGGAACAATATTTTCACCAAGAATGTAATTTACCATGCAAGGTTGACAGCTATATTCTACCCTCTCTCAGAGATTCAGCGATGAGCACATTTTATATGTAGGGAAATTTAACAGTAATCCAACTTCCTGTGTACCTCTATTATGGGATAAAAGCGAGACAACTGCCATTTCTCTTCTTCACCAGAACGGTCTTTTCTTGCCGCACGCTTCTTCTGACAACTTGAACAAATAGTTTTCAGGCATAATGTCAATACGTAAAAGCATCAACTTAAAGTAGGAATTTCCTTTACCTTTTGCATATCAAACTTGAGAGCAAAGGCACCAGTCACACTTTTTTTGGTATCTGGTTGTCCCCCTAGCATTCTCAAGTTATGCACAGCTCTCATATCCTCACTTTTCAACCTTGCTACCTGGAAGGCATTTAAAAGACAGTGCACAACATCATTAAGAGAGTCAGGAGATATAGCAGTGACAGGAAATTTATTTAATTTATAATGAAAAGGAGTTGGAAATTTAGATGGCCGATAGTAACAAAGAAAACAGACCTTCATCAAATTTTCACCCTTTTCACCCTCAAATTTCTCCGGATAAATGGCTGCAAGGATCATCAACAACCGCAACTTACTTTCATGAGTCATATCCTGCATAAAACATTGTGTTGTTTTATTTTAAGCCATGAAAATGTTCCTTTGATTATTTGCTTTCAAAACAGTTTATTCTGAAAAAAAAATGAAAAACCCTATTTGAAAATGTGTTTTCTATTATCTGTTCTGAAAAACAAAAAAGTTAAAAGTTGTTCTGAAAAACTAAAAAACCTGAACATTTTTTAAATGTTTATTTACTTTTTGCTTTACAAAACTAAAGAAAAGGCAAAAAATATCATGCTTTCATTAATGACAATCATGTTAATAAAATAAATTATTCTTTCACCCTTTATTTCATCAATTTAGATATGCTTTTAAAATAATGATTCAAACAGATTTTTTTTTTTCATTTTTTGTTTCCAAAACTGGTTCTGAAAAATTATTATACAGAATTGTTTTAAGAATATAAGAACAGAAAACAAAACCAAACAAGCCCTATATTTCTATTTTCATATCACTATAAAGCTTTTTCAATTTTATGCATGCAATGACAGGTTACATTTTTTCTATTCTGCTCTTAGAAGTTCTTACTTCTTTTGCTGTTAAAAATTTGATCACATCTTTCATTCCTGCATCTCCAAAAACGAGATCTTGCTCCAGCTGTCCAAGTTCCCGTAGTCCCATCTCCCTAATGGTTCTGTTAATCTTCCCAGCAATCTGGAGCACATTAAGCCCATTGATCATAAAGGTAGGCAGTGAACATAATCGGCTACACAATCATTCTTTGAAAACATTTACAAATTATCAAACTAACATATTAATCAAATGGTAACATAAGAACCAGCTTGCAAAAATATTTATCAAACATTCAAACTTGAGCACCAAAATTCATTAATCGAGTCATTCATCAGCAAGAATAATGATGGACATGAAAGATGAAATCAAGCAAACATCATGCAACCATTATAAAAAGTTTCCCATGATTGCACCATAAACAAACTAACCTCTACATGAAGGGAGAGTTTGTCAATTTGTTCACTATATTGTGGAAGCGCTTGGACCATCTTTTGTAAGTCCTTTGTTGACATTTCACCACCATCTCTATAAATGGAAGAGCAATGGTAAGTACATAACAACACTGACAGTAACTAGATAAAATTTTTATCAACTCCAGATCCAGGGTTAGGTAATTTAGAAAAGGCCAATTCATCATAGCAAAAAATTATGCAAGCCTCTGACTTAATTATCAGCCATCGTCTCAGTATTTTACACATCAGTAAAGATCTTAAAAATATCCAAGAACCTATGCACAATATTTCTTGAATACTCTAACGACTTGTACTCATCACAGGAGATAAATGGAGCTGAAGTTAAATATGAAAGAAATGAAGAGCCCCATAGACACAGCGCAAAGAAAAATACAAATCTCTCAATCATGAAAAAGAGATCTGTTTAAGAGAGAGAGAAAGAGAAGAGAAGAGGAAGAAAGAGACTATTCCATTCATAATAATCCAAGAGGCAGGGCACAGCACATATACCTTAAGCCTAAACATGTGTCAGGTAAGGTCCTGCACTATCAATACTTCCTAAAATTCAGCAACATATAAAATGGCAGCAATAAAATAACACATAAAGACAAGAAATACCCTAAATAAAGCAGTAACATATAACAATACCCCCCTTAAAAAAACCCTTGTCCACAAGGATGGAAGTAGGAGCAGGTGCCTGAATATTGAAGTGAGGAAATTGTTGTTTGATCGCTGAAAGATCTTCCCATGTGGCATCTTTAGGCTGGAAAACTTCCAACGAATAAGAACTTGAGTGACAAGCAAGTTATGGCACTTAACAATCTTCCGGCCCAAAATTTCCCCTGGTTCTAACATAAATTGGCCATGATCATTAACTAGTGTTGAGGTAGAATGAAGAATAACATCTGGATGAACAAACTTTTTTAACAAAGAAACATGATGAACCCAAGTGTGAGGAGGCAAGTCCAACTCATACACAACAACTCCAATGCACTTCACCACCCTGAAAGGCCCAAAATAACGAGCAGCTAGCTCATGCAAGGAAGAATTATTCAACAAATTCTTTCAAAAGGAATGCAATTTGAGGAAGACCATATCACCCACATTGAAGTGCTGTTTAGAACGGTGCTATTTAGCTTGTTGCACCATCAACAAGTGTTGCTTCAATAGTTGTAAGGTGAGCTCTCAAGTAGTGCAAGTTCTATCAACCATCTCATTGGGTGAGTCCCCTGCTATATAGGGCAAATGAGCGGGAGGAGGTACACCGTAAATCACCTCAAAAGGAGTCATCCCAATTGAGGAATGATATGTGGTGTTATACCACAATTCAGCTAGTGGCAGCCACTTAACCCATTGTTTTGGAAATTCGCCGGTCATGCAATAGAGATAGCACTCCAAGCAACAATTAAGAACTTCTGTTTGGGGATGGTAGGCAGAAGAAAAATGCAACTTAACTCTATATAATCTAGAAAGTTCCTTCCAAAATTTACCACAAAAAATTGGATCACAGTAAGAAACAGTGGTTTTGGAAAAACCATGCAACTTGACAACATTATCCATAAATATACCAGTGACATCCACAATAGTAAAAGGATGCTTCAACGCCATAAAATGGGCAGCCTTAGATAGGCGGTCAACAACCACAAAAATAGTGGTTTTAGAGTAAGGCTTAGGAAGCCCATTAATAAAGTCCATAGAGAGTTCAGACCAGACATGTTCACATATAAGTAATGGCCTTAGGGAGGCAACCAACTTTGGCTTAAAGTGTTGACAAGTGGTGCATTGATGCACATAGTTGTGGACATCTCTCTCCATCCCCGTCCAATAAAAGAAAGAAGCTAATCTTTTGCAACTTGGATTCATACCGAAATGACCACCAATAGTATCAGCATGAAAAAATTGAAGCAAATCCTCTCGAAGTCCACGATCAGCCGCTATTGTGAGTTTACCCTTCCTTCTCAACAAGTGGTGCTCCTATGTGTACTTAGAATTGGACAAGGGATCATGTTCAAGGATCTTAATTAGTTGCTGCAAATGATCATCAAGAAGCCAAGAGTCATGTACCCTATCATATAAGGGAGAAATGGGCGTAGAAATAGCCAAACAATCCCCACTGGAGCGTCTAAAAAGAGCATCAGCGGCTGTATTATCGCAATCCTTGTGGTAGACGATGTTGTAGTTAAGGACCTAGAGCTTATGAAGCCATTTACACTGCTCTTGGCTTAAATCCCATTGTTCTAGTAAATGTTTTAGGGGTAAGTGGTCAGTTTGATAATGAGCTTTCGCCCCCAAAGGTAAGAACACCATTGCTTGACAGCAAAAACAATACCCAATAGCTCACGTTCATAAGCGGATAATTGGTGCTAGTGAATAGAAAGGGCCTTGCTAGCAAAAGCTAAGGGGTGGCCCTTTTAAGATAAAATTACTCCCATGTCCCAAAGCATCGGTCTCAATCACAAAAGTCAAGAAGGGCAAGCACCAGGGTAGAGGTCATAGCATTCTTGAGGGATTCAAAGGCTTCCAGAGCTTGTGGAGACCACACAAAACGTTCATTCTTCTTTAATAATGCTGTTAGGGGGCTACTAAGAGAACCATAATTCTTGACAAAATGTCAGTAATACCTAGTGAGACCAAGAAAACCTCGTAATTCCTTGACAGAAGAAGGAATAGGCCAAGATGCTATTGCTTCAAGTTTCTTTGGATCTGCCTGAACACCATCAACTTTGATGTGTCAGCTGGTCTTTACCCACAAGATTTTCTCCTAAACCCATAGTTCCATCTTTTCTGCCCTATGCCATTCTGTTTATATCTCCTTTTTATGAGTTTTCATAATGACAGGAGGGGGCATTGGTTAATCCAAACAGCATCACCTTAAATTCTTAATGACCCTCGTGTGTTCGGAATGCAGTTTTCTACTCGTCTCCAGCCTTGATCCGAATTTGATGGCACCCAGATTTCAAATCAAGCTTGGAGAATATTGTGGCTCCCTTCAACTCATCCAATAACTCATCAATAGTAGGAATAGAAAATTTATCTGGAACTGTAAAGATAAAATTCGAAATGAGTACGTACGCGAAAAAGTGAGGGTGGCACCTATTGAGGAAAAAATGGTAGAAAATCGGTTGAGATGGTTTGGGCATGTACAAAGAAGACCAAGGGAGGCACCGGTGAGAAGAATGGAACATATAACTTTGAGTCCGATTAAGAGAGGTAGAGGAAGGCCTAAGAGAACACTCTTGGAAGTTGTTGAACGCGATCTCTTAATTAATAATATTCCTAAAAGCTTGATAAATGATAGAGCACAATGGCATCTTGCAATCCATGTAGCCGACCCCACCTAGTGGGATAAAGGCTTGTTGTTGTTGTTGTAATTTTATTTAGAGCCCTGTAGTCTACACAAACCTCCAACTACCATCTTTTTTTTTTTTTAACCAACAGCACTGGACTTGAATAAGAACTGTTGCTTAGCTGAATGACTCCTCCTTTCGGCACGTCTTTCACCATGTTCTCTATTTCATTCTTCTATAAATGAGGATATCAATAAGGCCTTATGTTTGGTGGTTGTTCTCCAGGTTTGATGACAATTGCATGGTCTTTGGATCTTGAGGGAGGGAGGCTCTCACGCTCCTGACAAACCATTGGAAATTCTTTTAACAAATTCTAAATTTCCGGACTCATAATTGCTGTACCTTCTTCACCACTTGTGAGGCCATTATATTCAATTAAGAACCCTTCCCCCTTCTTTCCCAAGGATCACATGGCTCTGTTTTCGATGGCTCTGTTTTATTTTCTATCTTCTTCGCAACAGTTGCAAATCAAGACGCTGAGGTGGTGTGCGTATTTCTTTCCCCTTCAGACACGTGAGTTACACGTGTGGTATGAGTGGGCTGTGATGATTCGAGTCTGGGTCCAAAATAAGGCCGTGGGCCTTGAGTTAGTCTATTTTCCTTGCATTCTCTCAACATTTGATCTCTTTCATCGATACATATCGCCATTTCCATTGATTCTCGTAACGTGGTGGTCTTGGTGATCTTCAACTCAGCCTTAATTTTTGCCTTCAACCCAAAGCGAAAAGCGCCAATTAAGCATTCTTCAAAGGCTTCCTTCAATGGCGCTAATAGCAGCTCAAAGTCTTCTACAAATTCGAGTACAAATTTTTCTTGCCTTGCTGTAAACAGCCTCTCGCACTCTCGCCCTGGTTAGGAAGAATGAAAGTGTCTCAGCAGCTCTCTTTTGAGCTCCAACCAATTACCCAGTGGCATCCTTATTTCAAGCCATTGGTACCAGTTAAGTGCTTTACCTACAACACAAACCACGGCTGCTTCAAGCTTCTCCAATTTGGTTATGGAATTTACATCAAAATATCTTCTCACTCTGAAAAGCGATCCGAGAGGGTCCTCGCTTGAGAAGACAAGTAACTCTAACTTCCAAAGCTTACTCCCTTCTATTTTGCCCCCTAGGTTACTTGCAGTCTCTTCATGATTATTTTCTACTAGCTCATCTCCATGTGGTGTTGCTATCTTCTTCTCTATATTCACTAGTGCTTCAGTAATGTTCTTTAAGGTTTCTTTGATGCCACCTACATCCTTGTTTAACACCCCAACAGACTCCTTCAACTATTGTACTTCTCAATTGGAATATTCTACTCTTTTTGCATAACTCCTCTCTTTCTGCTCTGATGCCAATTAATGAGACCCAGTCCAATAAAACAGGAAAGAACAAGGAAAATGACAATAACAACAATAAATATAAGGGGAAAATGCTGAGGTTTTGATATTAATAAATAGAAAGAATTGAATCAAATTTACAAGGGCACTCTCTGATTCTAGCCAAAACCCTATCTCCCCTGTTGATACAAAATAACACCAACAACACAAATCATAGACAGTAACATAAGAGTTTCAACTCCCTTTGGCATTTCGAGAAGCCAGTCTCTCCTCACGGTTCTATTACTTCTCATACCCCCTTCTCCCAAAAAAAAGACTATTAATACTTATATCATGGCCTTCACTCCCCCATACTGCCCAAAAGATCTTAATCATAACAAAAAAACAAAAGTTACTGTTCCTAACGGCTAAGGACCGAAGGATCACTGTCTGAACCAGTCACAGTATTTCCACTTGAGTCATTTACCTCCTTTGGCTTCCTCTTATATGTCTTAGAAAAATAACAGGCTCTATCAAAGACTAAAATAAACTTCCGCAAGAAGGGTCGAAAAACCGAGTTCATAAGACCTTGAAAAGTAGCAAGAGCATAAGGAAGGCCAAAAGGCATAACCATAAATTTGTACAAGTCATCATGAGTGCGGAAAGCTATCTTGTCAATGTCCACTTCATTCATTCAAATCTAATTGTAACCAGCACGTAAATCCAATTTAGAGAAAAATTGAGCTCCAGTAAGCTCATCTAAGAGTTCTTCTATAATTGGAATTAGAAATTTGTTCTTGACAGTAGCCTCATTCAACCTCCAATAATCAACACAAAAACACCACGTGCCATCTTTTTTTGGTACTAAAACAATTGGAGCAACAAAGGAACTATGGCTTTCCCTAACAATCCCATTATCAAGCATCTGTTGCACTTGCTTCTCAATCTCATATTTCTGGACAGGCCTACACCGATAAGCCTTACAAGAAATCAGATGATTCACTTTAAGGGAAAGTGTGATCAAAAGCACGTGATGGGGGTAAAGTAGAAGGTTCAGCAAAAACATCCAGAAATGAGTCTAAAACAGCTTGCAACTCAAGTTGCTGATTGGCAAAAAAACATGAGTTTGGGGAAAATTGTACCTAAAGTTGAAGAGGAGCATAAATCAAGTAGAGAGTATCCGTTGGTAACCAATGATCATCAGAAATGGATGGACAAAAAGCAGGGTCTAGTAACATGCACCCTATGCCTCTAAATTCAATAAGAATCCCATCCTTGTAAAATTCAAACAAATTTTCAATCATATCCATAGTAAATTGCCCCAAGGAGTTGAGCCATTGTGCCCCAAAAATCATGTCATATGCCCCGATATTCATTATTAAGAAATAAGAAGAAAAGATAAGAGTCTCCAATTTCCCACTCTAAATCAGGGCAATACTGTGTAATTAAAAGTTGGCAAGCGTCGGCTACAATGATGCAAACTCCTTGTTTCTCTTGAACAAGTAGCCATCTTCAAATCAAGTACGTTATGAGTGCTTCCTGTGTCAATCAAAATAATGACTTGTTGATGCTTGACATGTCCAAGCAGACGCAAGGTAGAAACACCTCCTCAGCCTTCCACAACGTTAATAATGCCCGCGGGTTCTTCATCAATTATTTCTTCTCGGGCATCTTCAAAAGTCTCAAGTTCATCATCCACAAGAAAGGCATAAATTTGCGAGTCTTTACACTTATGACCACTGCTATAATGATCACCACACCAATAGTAGAGGCCCTTGCGCCTGCATTCGTCCATGTCTTGTTTAGAAAGGGTCCTATGGGGCTCGAAAGAGGCCGAGGACATTGTGCTTGCTGGAGGAGTTGGTTTGGGCTTCCCTATTAGTGGGCCTGCGAATGAAATGGGTTTAAAAGGAGAGTTCAACTTGGGACCCAAACTAGTAGTATAGGAAACCCATGAAGGACTGCCAGCCTGAAACACGAAAGACGAGTGGAATCAACGCGATGAGGACATGAAAACAGGGGCATAGTCGTGAATGGCTTGAATCATGGCGACCTGGTGTCTCGCAAGCTTTACCGCATTAGCTAAGGACGATAGTGAATGCTCTGTTGGACATCGCTCCTCAATCCCCAAATGAAGCAATTCATCGCAGCGTCATCCGATAAGGCTACCTCTGTCAACAACTCATCAAACTTCTCATATACATCAATAGAATCACCCATCTGAAGTTTCTTAATGGAAATCATAGGATTGTCATCCTTAATGTCCCTAAACTTGACCTCCATTTCTTTGAAATAGTCATCCTAACAAATGTCCTAAAGTTGCCACTGTTTCAAGAAAGAGAGATGCCAACACAATGCATGTTTCTCCAAGTGAATGCTTAGAAGACGAATGCAATGCTCAATAGGTGTTTCATCAACAGCAAAAAAATTGACGACATCGGTAAGCCCAACCTTTAAAGTCGGTGCCATCAAACTTAGGAAACATGACTCTATTGTGCTTGGTCGAAATCGAATATGGGGAAGGAGGCGTAGGAAGCAAACCTTGGAATGAGCCAAATTGTGGTGGAGGGGTGGAAATGGGTGGTAGAGGTGCTGAAGCTGAAGGCATTGTAGGACATGAGAACTGTGTTTGGGGCAAAGTTGGAAGTGGAATGATGATTGGTTAGGACGGTGGTGACATGGTGAGGCATTGGGCAAGGCCAATGGAAGTTGGAGGGCTCACCTATCTCAAAGGCAAGGGGCTAAAGAGGTTGACTTGCCATGGTTGAAAGTTTAGCAGATACATCAGCTAAGTGGTCGGAAAATTTGTTAAGTGTTTGTTTCATTTTTGAGATATTGTCTTTGTTCTAATGTACTAATGTACATTGCATCTGCAAGCGATGTTCCAAATCACTGAGCCATTTAGTGGAGGATTGCGTCTCCAACAGAGCCATGGCTAGAGAGCCTGGCTTTGATACCTAATGTTAAGAAAGAAAGAGAAGAGAAGAGAAGAGGAACAAAGAGACTATTCCATTCATAATAATCCAAGAGGCAAGGCATAGCACATATACCCTAAACCTAAACACGGGTCAAGTAAGGTCCTGCACTGTTAATACTTCCTAAAATTCGGCAACATATAAAAAGGCAGTAATAACATAACACATAAAGACAAGAAAGCCCTAAATATAACAGTAACATATAACAAGATCTCTTTCCACTATGACTAAGATTATTGGGCGGGAAAATGTAGATAAGAAATAAAAAAAATAGCACAACTAGAAGACAAAGTCAGAATGTCAACTCATAAAGCTTATAAATAAATTAAATGAAAAAGGTAGAAATGCCTAAATTTCTTTTGGCCTTTGGTTAAACCATTAGCTTCAATATTTTTCTCAGATCAAGATGTCAATATGAAAGATTCCAAAAAATTGTCACTTACCTTGAACCATGTTGAATTGAAGCAGCCTTATTCTTTGAAATGAAGCTGGTCATCTTTTCATGCAACCGCTCACTAGCCTGTCAAAGTCATTGATATAAGAAAGTAACATGGATAATTGATAATAGTAGATGGGTGGAAGAAGAAAATACATCTGCAATATGTGCATGGCGAAGCTCAAGCCATATAGGATCATGGTCCTCCAAAAGAACCTCTTTTCTCTCAGGTTGACCACCAGTCTTGCTGGGAACCTTAAGTACAATAAATTTATATCATATTCATAAGAAAGCAAAAAAAAAAAATTCAGAAATAGATTAGACAAAATAGAAATTGTAGCATATACCTCATGAACATATTTGTTTCCTTCCATATTCAGCAAGTCATGGCACATCGCATCATATGTCCATTCATGTATAACAGGTGCAATCTACAGATCCAGATTAGCAACTTGTGAGTAACTATCGACAGTCTGTTGAAACAGTAACTTAACTCTGTAACAAAGACATGAAGGCTAAGAAAAACCTGATCAATAGATCTGTCAAGGATAAGCAATTCACATGTTTCCATTTGAGGAAAGTTAGGTATAGTTTTTTTATATTTCATAAGACAGTCCCAGACTCCAGCAGCAAGCTTTGTAGGAATTAGATCACGGAAAGTAGTCATTGTGGTTGCATCAAGTGTCCTTGCAGCACGATAGCGAACCAAAGGAAATTCCTAGAAAGGTTTACATGCTTCAGAAGGCTTCTTGGTCATGTTTGACTACATTTTGATTTGTTGGCATAAGGAATAATAAATACATACCTGTAACGATGCAAAAACAGTAGCAATCCGAGTAGCCATCACATTCAAACAAGCAACAGCTTTGCGATTATTCTCTTCATCCCCAAATAATTCTTCTAAAGCTCTCTCATTGTTTGTGATGAATCCCTGCATTAAGATGAGTAGATGAAAAAAATCACACACCATCAAATGAGAGCCTCAAATAAAGGAATAATCATGATCTCCAAAACTAATCAAGGATTTATAATGAGCATATTCAAGATAGAAAATTATTCTTCAAGGGAAGGATCTCAAGGTTCTGAAATGAGGGCTCTATCTGCTGCTATTTGTCCTTGAATGATTAAACTTCCAGCTTGAGTGGTAGTAGGGCTTCAAGATCCACATATTTATGGTTGTTCCATAAAAATCTTCATGAAAAACTCATCAACTCAATCCACGAAGTTTTTTTTTCCCCGGGCCTGCAAAGTGTCTTTATTTCAAGTGTTTTGGAGCATAACTTATTGTGTATCAGCTAACAGGTTCTAGTCAGTTTACTGGACGAAGATCCTATTTCATCACTAAGCTTTTCATTCATGGTTAAATGGAGAACTAAAGTAGTCAGTACCTCATCGCACCTTGTGTTTTGAAATAATATGTACTGATAAAATGATTATAATATACAAGGAAACAAAAGAATCACCCACCTGACTGTCTATGGCAAAGTACTCCAAATTCATCTGCATAATGTTATCCAAATGAGAAAAATCCATGTTTAGCATAACTTGAATTTTTCATGCCAAAACTACCAAGTTAAGCAAAATATAATTCATGAACAAATAATCTTAACCTCTCTTAGTGCACCTATGCGAGGTAACACCTTCGTATCTTTCTTAATATCCTGGACTAATTCTTTAGACACAGGTGAACTGAAGAAAACAAATGCCCTGCATAAATAAGAAAAGAGCATGCTTGGGACCCAATATTGAAAGACAAAAGGAACTTTACCAAGAAAGATGATATAAGGCTCACGACATACTTCCTATACAAGGGTGTCCTTCCAGACATGTCTGACAAAAACATAATAACACTGCCAACAGAAATGGAAAGACAGAATCACTATAAATGCACCAATTTGATAAAACATGACATCTTAATCTAAATTGACACCACCATTAGAATAAAATGAAACTGTCAAGCATAGCCACAAGAGTTCATCTTAATTTTTTGATCTAAGAAGATATTGATAGCGAAGGAAATATGCAAGGACAGAAAAGGATAAGACATCCTCAAAAATTAACCAAAGCAAATCATCAAGAGCACTAGAGACTTTGAAAAAATGATAAATGTTTGTAATTTGATGGAAACGAAATGAAGAAACAATGCAAGTGAGAATATAATAATACAAAGTAATTTATCCAATTGCATCTTGTAAAAAAATAGAAAAGAAACATCAAAATTATCCAACTTAAAATAAAAAACCAAATTTACAATTTTTTGCAGTTTTTGGCAGTCAATGTAAGGATAAGAAAAACTATTACAAAAACCAGATCCATAAAATTAATTATCCGGGACAAGTAAGAAGGTTGTGTTACTTCTCTCTGGTTGGCTGGATGAAGTATATAGCATCCATAGTGGGCAATGGCTGCCTCCGCTTGTATATGTCTTCAACCACTGCAGAAGAACACCCAAAATTATATATCACAGAATCCAATAAACACAACTCACTGCCCAAAGTTTGCAATTAAAAAAAGTAACTGAAACAAGACAATATAAAATTTAACCACAAGAACACAAGTTAATTTACACTTGAAATTCTGAAGGCACAAGACCAGCACCAAAATCTTGATATAAGCAGCTAAATACTAATCTCATTTTCAGTCCAAATTTGAGAGATTCTGTTTAGAAGTAAAAAACTTCAGAATCAGACTGTATAAATACTAATATTAGCAGTTAGCAGCAATTGCATAGAGAACTGTCAGATTTCTTAGAGTTCAGTTCAGACAGGTCCCACAATAAAGGTTCATGGTATGCATTTTTTAATGGATAAGTGATATTACTTCGTTCATTTCATAACTTCTTTATCTCAGGACTGATAGCAGAAATGTGAAGTGCATTCAAAATCCAGATAAAGGACCAGGATCCACCAAGAACACAGGCTTCCAGGATTTCCTCTTTTGTTTCTCCTATTTACTTCAATAAGAGGTTAAGGTATAGTAAAATGACAGGAACCAAAATATGTATAGCCAAAGAAGGAATAGAAGTCTTTATTGAAATATGCAATCAAAATCTACAACAACAACAACAACAACAACAAGCCTTTATCCCACTAGGTGGGGTCGGCTACATGGATTGCAAGACGCCATTGTGCTCTATCATTTATCAAGCTTTTAGGAATATTATTAATTAAGAGATCGCATTCAACAACTTTCAAGAGTGTTCTCTTAGGCCTTCCTCTACCTCTCTTAATCGGACTCAAAGTTATATGCAATCAAAATCTAACTTCACAAATTAATAAAGATGAAGGAAAACCTATAGTAGAAGATGCAAGGATCTTAAACTCATACAACTAATCAAGCCCAAGAAGAATCTCCAATGATAAAAAAAACAAACATTAATTTTATTTCTAGATGATTCCTACATACTTTGAACCTCAGTATTTATAGATAGAAAAATTATTCATGACTCCCTAAAACTCAGACCCACTAACCCATGACTGAGGATATATTAAAAAAAAAAAAAACTTTCGTATGTTTAATAAAAATATTTAAAATAAAATACTTGACTCAGTGAATAATCCTAATCCTAACAGACTACACTTGCTCCTAAACCTGTGCTACAGTTTAACCACTAAAAATAAATATTAACAAAATAAAATCAAAATAATAAAATTCCACAAATTCACTAGCATGTGACTTTTAATTGGTACTCTATCACAAAATGAGGCTCATAACCGTTCTTTTAACAGTTTAAGACATAATACTTAATAAAGTGAAAAGGACACATGTTCAATAGGCTTTCAGCATCTAAAATAGCATACATGCAACTTGCAACAAGAAGAATCCAAGATAATTATGGCAAAAATTAATTGGCTTGGAGAAGGAATAAAGATATCCTTATAGAAGTCTATCTAGAAATTCTTACATGATACACCTTCATCTGTGATATCAGCCATCTTGCATGAGTGAGACATGATCTTAACAGTAAGTTTATCCATTATAAGTACCTGGAAGAAAGAAACTCATGAAGCAATATAAGATGATAATTAAAGCTTTAACATCAAATTACCATCAAGACTTCTATCAGATTTGCAGTAATTTTGTACCCAGCTGCATGCATGCATGCATACCTAACACCAAAGTGAACTAATTCAATTTGCATTAAATTTATACTTCCCCGTGGTGAAACCACATTATAAGGATCTCCCCCCTCCCTGTTCCTTTATTTCAATCAATTTTGTGAAATATGCATATGTAGTATTGAATTTTGACATTATGTCCCTCAGTCCTATGAAATTTTTGAACCCATTGAACGCATTGAATTCATTGGACACATTAATGAAATTATATATATATATATATATATAGTTTGACGTATTAAATTGAACCAATTAAAGCCACTACCAATTACTCCTCATTCAAGAACATTAATTTTTACAGTCAGATGTCAGAATCAACAACTCATGGTGTGACTTAATATTAATATAGATAAAGGTACATGACAGGAAGCACAAAATAGTCCCATTCAAAAATAAAGTCAGCTATTAGTCATATGCAATGGAAATTAGGAAATCTATTAAACAAACACGTGAATAAGTGGCTAGACTAACATGCAAGGAAAAAAAAGGTGACCAGTTGAAAATAAATCTGCCTTGAGAACAATCATCAATATTGTGAAACCTAACATGTGCGAAGATTCCCAGAGTGGAACTTCAAGTTGAAGTTGAAACAAACAGAAGAGAGGGTCTCTTTGCATCCTGAGTAAAATTAGCAATCTGAAGGCAAAGCTCATTAAAGTAGCCAATGACATAGATACCTTCCAAGTAGACTTTGAATCTCCTGTTTTTGCCGCCCTCAGCATCTCATGTAATAATCCTGGAGACAATTTCCATTTATTGATAAATAATATAAGGTGATCAAATTCAAAGCACTTGGTTACAGCTAATACACTGCTGCAATTAAACAAGAAGCACACAAGAGGATGTGATACTTGCAATAGCAAGCACAAGAACATCTTTCTAAAACATGCTTTTCAATTCTTCAAGACTTAATTGAATGATATTTCTACTAATGAAAATGAACAAAACAGCGCTGCACTAAATTTGGTGATGTTACTAAATGAAACACGCAAGGCATATCCAGTAGAAGAGTGAACCTTAAACTCTATAAAGATCAGCATATGAAGATGATTTGCAATGGTTCCCATTGATGCCATATAACATCCTAGTTGTTTTACCTAGGGTCCGTGCTTCAATAAGTGTACGTATGACTCAGAAAAGGAATAAGATTTTTCTGGCACCAAAATTCTTCAGTTCCAATCACATTGTACTTTTCTCTTTTGAAAAATCATAACAGCAGAAACATCCCATCCTCACATACTACAATCTAAACCATAAACATACCCACAGTAACAGCGTCTCACAGCTAGTTTCTTGCAGTGTATGACAGAATAGGACATCTAAGAAACTCAGATTTTCCTGATGCTTCTTCAGCTTGGGCAAAGGGGATAGGAATGAAGGCATCAGATTTAATCTTCCAGCCAACTAAAATTCTATATTTCGCAGAAAAGCAATTGTATTTGTTTTATTAGGAAAACTAACATCATGAGAGAAGGAGTCAACTGGCAACACCGACCACCCTCATCCAGATGTAAATTTCGAATGCACCAGCACAGCTAAGTTGCCATCACATGCGTGTCAAGGCTAATACAAGCCGCAAATAAACATCATGTGCGAATGATAAGGGTTCCAACTGCTAAGGAAAATCCAATGTGACCCTCAAGCGAAGGATGGCATGAGAAGAGAGTTAAGCAAAGATAGGCATCGTCAAGCATGATAAAATGCATCACTGACTGATGAATAATTAGTTGATTGAAACCTCGAGATCAAGTATAACACAAAAGCACAGGTGAACAAGCAGTGAAGAAAAGTTACAGAAAAGGGCCAACCGGAGAACTTAATACTTTATCGAGTCATAAGAAAACGGCCAACATTCAATAAGAACTATACAGCACGCTGAATTGAGAACTAGAAGTTATTGATAATTAATCAGACAGATGAATCGGAAAATTTTGTTCAAGTAAAAATTAGAAAGAAACAAAGAAAGGAATCAAGATTAGTAAAGGGAAAGGAACTTACTCTCACGGCTAATTTGTTTGAAACTTTTGCAGTCAGCGCCATAGGATGAGGAATCGGAGTCTGAAATAGACATGGGGCTGCCCTCTACCTCACTCTGCCCACCACAACCGCTTAATCGCTCGGGGACGGAAAGCGGAGGGAGATCGTGGAATTAACCGGAAGCGGGTACGTACCGGAAAGAGGAGAGAGAACAGGCTTCCTTTAATTATAAGTTATATTGATGATGATGATGATGATGATGATTATGGTTTTTTTTTTTTTTGGGTGAAAAACGACTTTCTTTTATAAGCATGGCCCCATGGGGGTTGGGTTTTGTGTGGGGGGTGCACGACGTGTTGAATTGTCCAATGCTCAAGATTGAGGTCCTTCTGCTGGTCAAAGAAAAATAGATTGAGGTCCCTTCAGGAGAATAGATCCGGTCATGGTTAGGCAACGGCCAATTATTTCTTTCATGCCCGTTCTTACTTAAGTTTAATTTAATGATACAAAGAATACCCCCTTTAAATATATAAAAATATACAATATAATAATTACTGTGTAGTTTCTGAAGACTTTCTGTCATCAAAGTTTTTGCACGACACTTATTTAAATAAAGTAATCATTTTTCAATTATAACTAGTAATTGATTTTAAAGTGGTTGCATTTTGTTCACGGACAAAGATGATGGAACGGTACTTGTCATTTTTTATGCCGTGTAACTGATTTTATTGTGGTGGCTGATTTTATAGTAGTTGCATTTTGTAAATATAAGTTGATTTTTTTTTTGATAATGATGGAGAAAAAAAAAAGGAGAAATTAAAGAGATGTTTTATTAAAAAAATATAAAAATAATAATACATAAGATTTTATTTAATTGAGTTGATAAAATATAATATATTTTTATTATATAAAATACAGATAATATTATATATCGAATCTATTCAAGGATTTTTTATGCTGGTGAAAGGCCGAAGGAGCTCTTAAACAAGAAGTTGTTGAATCAATGATCGATCCCACTGACCTCAACTCGTTAACGGAGAAAGTAAACAACCGCTGTGCTGTCTTCCAATTCCTTTCGACTTCATTCAATTTTACGGTGGTTCTTCCAGAGAACAAACACAGAGGAAACACACCTACGACTTTATTTAGATACTGCTCTGTGCTTGGTTTTGATGATTGTTGTTGTTGGTTTGGAATATCACTTTATGAAGCTAGTGATTTGTGACAGTCCATATTTCTTATTGTGCAACTGTGAGCATGAGGAAGTCATGGAGATGAAGGAAAATCTTTTTCTTTTTTAGGAGAATGACAGATAAGTTGAAGGCGATCAACTAATTCAAATTAAATTTTAACTAATTTTAAAATATTAAATTTCAAAGATTTATAAGCTCTAATCTTAATTTTATAATTTTATTGTAATGAATTTATAATTTATTTTTTAAATTTTAATATAATTGAAAAATAAATAAATTTATTTTCTTTATCAAAAATTTAAAACACAAATTGCAAATTCATCACAACAAAGTTAAAAAATTAAAAGTTGAACTTGTAAATTTTTAAATTTTAACACTTTAAAATTGATTGAGACCTAATTTAAATTAATTAATCTTCTTGGAACTCACATATCATTTTTCCTTTTTCTTTAATGCATATGTTAAATATAAAATGGAATATATTCATTTTTTTTTAGAATAGCAGTTGGGTTTCAAAATGTTAAATTAATTATAGTTATGTTTTTGACAGAATTTTTTGAAACTAAGCTAAAATTATCAATAAGATAATTGTAAATTTAAAAATTTTAATTAAAAATGTCAAATGTAACTATTATATTGTACTAACAAAAATTTCTACTTGTAACTATTTAAATTAATATTTATTACTTATTTTTAGAAAATTGTATATGAACCTAATTATCATTAATTTAAACTTTTAAGATCTAATTGCCATTCTCTTTTTTTTTTTTAAGTATCTAAATATGTAGAGACAATATTTTTAAGTTTGAACATTAAGATAAGCATGCCTGTCTACTCAATCTTTTTGTTCTTTTCAATTATTTGTTGATGTTCTAACACTGAATATTAAGGTAAGCTTTATATAATTAACATAATATATTTAATATATTTTTATATAATCAAATTAAGATATGTGAATTTTAATGTATTAATAATATTAATAAGAAGAATTTGATAAAGAATAAATAAAATATAAAAGATAAACATGTCTTGATTTAATTAAAAATAAGTATTTTAAATATATAAAATTAAGTATATAAGTTTTTTCTCTAATATTAATTATCTTTTGCAAAATTATTATAATATAATGTCCTCAAGTATTATAAATAACACTAGCTACTTTTAAGTAATGACTTTCTTTTTCATAAATAACTACAACGAACGAGATTTTAAGATTTCACATTTAAAATACTCTCATACACTTTCAATATATTCAAATCAGAATTTAAAATGAGTACAGAAGCTTAGGAATCAAAGAAAAAGTCAAAACATTTAAAAACTAATGAAATTATGAAATGTGCAGAAAATGGCACATGCGCTACAACTAACTACAGTGCACCGTAGCATGTTGCCTTTGTGCCATGCGTCACGGCACATTGCACGAGTTTGATAGAATTTTGCTATCAATTTGACAACATAAGGGGCGAAGTTTCAATACATCCCAAATCTCTATCTAATGTTTGATTGAGGTGATTTTAATATTTACAGAGAGTTTTCTCCTAAATTTAGCTAATGGTATAAATTTCACAACTAAATTCATTTTTTATCAAAAGTTGGACACCCAGTACCAATTTCACTCATTTTTCACAAATATACACAGTTAGGGTGTCCAAGCTCATACATATGTGCCAAGAGCCTACATCAATTTTTAAACTATACTCAATGAACCATTTATGACTCATGTAATGCACCATAACTAATCAAATTCACATATATCATAATTTCAACCCTTAAACCCTAAGTTCACAAAATACGAGGGAAAGTAAATATTTGCACAAAATCATCAATACATATTCATAACATCCTAAAATATATTTTACTCAACTTACATAAGTATTTCGGTCCTATACAAGCTTTACAATCACATTATCACTAGCTTAGGGTATAAAATACACACGATTTTCACATTGCTAATGCAAGTAGATTAAAATAATGATATGAATCCTAGTTGCCAAATTAAGAATTTAAATATACAAAAACCAATACAATGGGGCCTACAAGTAGGATTTACACCAAAATCCTAAGCCTCAGAATGTTTTTCCTAATTTTGATCAGATGACCTAGGCCCTGAAAATATTTAAGAATAAAGGGTGAGCACAACCACTCAATAACCAAGGTCTACCTAGTCTATACAGTTACATATTAATTAGAAACAAATGCAAATGATAATGAATCACATATAAAGCACATATGACAAATGTAGCATTTGCCACAATAATAACAACCTTGTGACCGGGCATAAAACACATATCATCATGTATATCAATTATGCACCACTTAGGGTTGCAAAATGAATAACCATACGCCTCTACAACACACCAGACCACAATAATAACAATCATATGGCCGGGATTAAATGCATGATTAATGCCAGCCTTATACCCTTTTATTACCTCATGCATGGAACTGGTAGTTATCAAGTGGCTACGTCCATAACTCAAACTAACCCAACCTTCCATTTGTAAAGAGCTACCGAGCTAAGGTTAACTCGTTCACTTATATACCATAGTTTCCCCTAATATTAACAACCATGGAGTGTCATAGCCCTAATCTAACCTCTTTATGTATCAGTAAAGACTAGTTAGGTTCGAGTCCCTTGAAGAACAAGTAGAACAGTCCTGAATCAATATAAGACAAAGCTACCTCTCGATTCTAGTGGTTGATTCCAAGGCAAGCTTCTGATTATAACAGTAAGCCTCTAGTACCATATGGATTTATCAATCTACTCCTCTCCTTAAGCGAACTATAACCAATAATCATGCTATGTGTATATTACACATATTTATACAATTCAACCATCAATCATGTCATATCTTATACCATTTTCTCACTCTATCATAGTCGACATACTAAATATCACATATAGCACATTTTCACAATATCATGTTTTCTATTCAACATTACTAGTCATATATGTAAATGACAAACGTATGTTTCTCCATAATACCAAACAATTTTACATATATAAATAACCACATTGTCAAAGTTATATTAATAATTTTCTAACACTAATCAAGTTCCCACCCATTTATTTTAACATATAACTAATTAACAAACAACTATACACATTAGATTTTTCTTTAATTACCTTAAACCTTTGAGAAATTAAAGGTTTCCTGCTCAAAACACAAGCTTATAAAGCTTTCAAATTAGCTTGAATGATGCCAGAATTAGACAATCTACAACCAATCACAAAGATATCATCATTACCTCATTTTTAGGCAATTCTCAACATTACAACTCTATATTCTCCTTTTCATTGAAGTTATAAATTCACTACTCACTATACCCAATAGATTTAATAGGTTTCAATAACCCACATTATTATGAATGAATTATTAAATCACCATTTATGACCATCAATACTCCTAACAACCTCAATAAATGTCAATGTTCGGATACTAATGGTTTCCAACCACTAACAACTCACATAACCATAAATGTTGGGTTTAAATACTTTTAAAAACTCTTATTATATCTATTTTAATTAATAGGTTCAGACCGATAGCTCATATGGACCAAAGATTACTCTCCCAACTCAAAACCTAACTTAACTCCTCATAAAAATAGAAGAAAATGAATGAGAGAAGCACAATACACTTACCTTGGGTGTTAAGAAGCGCTCCAAAAATGTCTCCAATGGTCTCTAAGTACGTGCCCTAGCAGAGCAATCTTGTGCTTTTCATTTTCTCCTTTTTCTTTCCTCTAGTTTTTCATCTGTTTCGCAACTAGTATATTATAAAAGTTGGCCATACGCCTTGGTGCACACAACACGCACTGCAGGGCATGGCACAAAGAAGTCATTCCTTCATTGCATGCCTCTGTACACCGGCATAGAGAACCTTCCTTTGCTTTTCCCTCCACTTTTGATACTCGGGTGGCTCAACTTTACTTCAAACCCACATTTAGGCTGAAATCACAATCAAACACACTTATTAAACTTTCCTCGCTACACACTACATTAATTTACTTAATTATCCTCATTAAGCTCAATTAATCATGTTTACATTTT